TACATATAGTAGGTGCTTAATAATTACAAGATCATCCATCCCACTTTGCTTCCTGCATCTCACAAGGTTATAAAGACTAAATACAATTACTTTAACCCAAAGGGCTTTGCAAATTGACAGTTGCTATCGAAATCAGAGGGATGACTAACTACTCTTGGTACAAATGGCCATGCTGAAATTCAATACCCAGCATTCTTGGGGCATTATAAAGTAGTTTAGTCCAACATCAATCACTTACAAACACAAACTTTGCAACACTTTACTGCTTCTTATGTTTATTAAAGCAGAACTATGAAAAGATTACCTGCCCCAATATGGGCAGCATTACTTACTGATCTCTGAATCTAAGTGAATCTCAGTTTTTCTCTTAGAAAAGGAATATCTAAAAACTTTTCCCAGCAAACAGAGAGAAAATGGCAGGTATCTGCAGAGCACCCTGAATCTGACTTGGGGAACTCCTGATGTATGACATCCAGCTCTGTGTGATGATGAAAGGGGAAATTAGGTAGTAAGATTTTGAAATATTTCAGAAGAGAAAAATCAAGAAATAGAAGTTAATACTTTTTCTCCCTCCACACTCCTTAACCTCTTACACCACTGCTTGCTCATTCTCTGAACCATCTATTCTATTCAGAAACCACCTTTCAGAATGCAAATAGAATGGATACAAGCAACGTGCAAATGGCTGGGGGTGTGGCTCAGGGTTTAACAGGCACAAGGCCTTGGGTTCAATCATCAGCACTGGAGAAAAAGAAATGCAGAAATAATTATGTTAGACTGTGGTCTTGACTAAGTGTTCAACTAAACAGCACCAGGTTAGAATGTCTATGTGAGACAGACATGAGACAGGGTAATAATAAACACTCCACCAACTACTCCAACCCTGGGCACTGTTATGACTGTGGTACCTTTCCTGAGGGCTCCCTAAGAGCACCTTTTTAATATTTATACCCTCAAGAGCCTAGGACAGGCCTGGTACCCAAAAGGCACACATAAATTCCTTCTGAATTGTATGATCTGTATTATTCAGGTACAAACCCCATACACCTGATGAGAGGTATTATTTTATAAGTGGAGAAAATTAGGTCCACAGAGAGTAAAAGTTGAAGCCAGTTAAAGAATGTCTTTTTTGGGGCCGGGTATTTAGCACCTGCCTCCCAAGCACAAGGTCCTGAGTTCGATTCTCAATACAAAAAAAAAAGTATTTTTTGATGCCACCTACCCACAGCAAGGGCTTCATCCTATCACCTAAATCCTACTTGCCACTATTCCCTACAGCCACCTCTGCTCCACTGAGACTGTGATTAAATGTGCCCATGGCTACTCCCCACTGTCCACCTCATTTAGTTGTCCAGAGGCCTGGGGGATTCTTTTATCAGCCTGCAGAGTTCCTACCCATCCCTCATGAACAGCCCACAAACTGAAAGAAGCCAGTCCTCACCATCCCAGACTCTTCTGAATTCTTTTTTTTTTTGGTACCGGGGATTGAACTCGGGACCTTGTGCTTGTGAGGCAGGCAGTGGCACCACTGAGCTAAATCCCTGGCCCAATAGCTGCTGTTTTTATTTTTTATTTTTATTTTTTATTTACTTATTGTTTGGAGACAGGGTTTTGCTATGTAGTTCAGGCTGGCCTTGAACTCACTATGGACCTCAGGCTGGCCTCGAACTTGTGGTAATCCTCCTGCCTCAGCCTTCCAAGCACCACCAGACCTGGCATGCTGTTGTTTTTAATCATTAACTTTTTTTTGAGACAGGGTCTGTGTATTCCAGGATAGCCTCAAAGAACTCACTTCATAGACCAGTCTGGCCTTGAACTTGCAGTGATCCACCTGCCTCAGCCTCCCAAATGCTGAGATTACAGGTTTGTGCCACCATGCCCAGCTCTAATCATTAGCTTTTTTTTTTTTTTTTTTGATACCGGGGATCGAACTTGGGTCCTTGCGCTTGTGTAGCAGGTAGCGAAACCACTGAGCTAAATCCCTGGCCTCTAATCATTAGCTTTGATGTCATTTTATTTCTGTATTCCCCTCCATCCTATCCATTCCCTAGCATACACCTTTTTCGTTTGTTTGTTTGTTTTTGTTGTTGTTGTTTTTGAGAAGGGGTCTTACTATGTAGTTCAGACTAGCCTTGAACTCACAGTAATCCTCCTACCTGAGCCTCCCAAGTGCTGGGATTACACACATGCACCACCACACCTACCCTCCCTGGCATATACTTTAAAAAATACTGACAATATTAAATGTCATAAAAATCACTTTTACACTTGGTCACAACAGTATAGAATATTCATTAGAAACTCATTCTGTCCACTAATCATTTACCTGAATCAAACTGATATGAGTGAAGCCTTGCCTATCAACTACATAGCAATAGGAATCCTTCATCATCCTCATGTCAAGCGTAAGTGCTGGTGAACACTGAAAGGATATTTTCCTTCAGAGGTCACTAACCAACCAGCAGTATCATACCCTGACAAAAAATCCAACCTAACATGATTATTCTATTGTTAACAGAGACAATTACAATTTACTGAGCCTCTACTATGATCTAGATACGATGTTAAAAGGCTAAATGCTTTAGACACTATCTCATTTAAACCATACTACTCCATGAATATGAAAATCAATCTCTCTCTCTCTCTCCCTCCCTCCCTCCATGTACACAAACTATGGCTTAAAATCGTTGTACAATTTCTGGGATCTGGGCTCACACAGCCAAGAAACAGGCAGAGTCAAAATTCAACCCTGGTCTTTCTAACAAAAGTATCATGCTCTTTCCACTCTTGCTATATATCCCTACACCCCTTATATTTTGAAATTTCCCTTGATCTAGGAATGCAGCTCAGTGATAGAGTGCTTACCTAGCATGCACAAGATTCCAGGTTCAATCTCTAACATTGTAAAAATGAAAATCTTCCTTAACTTCTACCCTTCATCTACATTCTGCTCTTCATATCCACTTTGGGATATTAAAGATGGGGAGCTTCCTATAATAAGGGGGCAGAAATGAAAAAAAAATCACCCCAATTTTATTGGCTCCTTCCATTAACTGGCTGGAATTCAAACCCAACTGAGAAATGAGTATTGGTAATAAGGTTGCAGTGAAAGCACCTGAGGAAAGTACAAAAAGAAATGAGAAAGAGGGTTGGGGATTTAGCTCAGTGGTTCCACAGCTTGCCTCACAAGCACAAGGTCCTGAGTTTGATCCCTGGTACCGGAAAAAAAAAAAAAAAAGAAAGAAATGAGAAAGAAAAGGACAGTCTCTTTCGGAGATACTTCAGTGGACAGCAGGGGACTAAGTGTAAAAGTAGGAAAAGATATTTTCAGGGTCCAGTGTTTATAATTCCTTTAAAAAGATACTATACCAAAAAGGAAAGAGATTCCTAAATGCCAGTTAGCCAACAGAAGTCTCAACAACTTTACAGATCTCACTAACAGCTGAAAACTAAGCTGGAAATTTATAAGCAAAGAGAAAAATAATCACTACTGCCTAAACCAGTAGGCCCATAGGGACACTAAAGGTCTCTTCATAAAAGACATTTTATCAGTTCTTCAACCAACCAAAAGGAGCCCAATTTTAAAAGAAACTAATCAGCATTCTTGACTGATCACTCGGCATAAGCTCCTGAACTGAGTGAAAAGGCAAGTTGCATTATTATTAATATTATTATTATCCTTATTTGCAGGGCTGGGGATTGAACCCAGGGCCTGGTACAGGCTAAGCACACACTCTACCATCGAATTACATCACCAGCCTGAAAACTGCTTTTTTAGTAAGGAAACTCCACACAGGGCCAGGGATTTAGCTCAGTGGCACTGCGCCTGCCTCGAAAGCACAAGGTCCTGAGTTCAATCCCCGGTACCAAAAAGAAGAAACTCCATACAGTGGAGCACTTTGGTGTTCCTTCACCTATGCTTTGGACTTTCCTCATGCAGGATGCTGCTCATCACTGGTGCCCTTTTTTGGATACTCGGAGTTCCCCCATAGGACTGACAGGTCCTATAGGAGGGTACAACACTCTGGTTACTGCCAGGAAAAAAGTCCAGCTTTGGCAAATTTAATATAGAAGGCTCAACAATAGTCAATGTGCAGAGATTACCACAAACAATATTAAAACTATGAAACTTGAAGGCCCTACCACATCTCACCTTCAAACACCTCTTGTAACAAACAGAGTTTCAAATCAGAAGGGGCACAAGGTCCTGGGGGAGAGTCACTGGTAAAGCCACTACTGATGTCCAGGTTTCCTGAATCCCAGTAGCTCGGGCTTATCATTGAACAACACAGACTGCCTTCTTTCCTGCAGGCACTGTACGCACTGCAGGCATGCTACCCCAACCCCCTCAACACACACACAAGATCGTCACTCTCCCAGAACCCCTCCCCCATCCCAGTCCCTCCTACAGCCTAGCTAAATTGCAACTCAAATTAGCAAGTCTCGGAGCAGGGGGCATTTTCTGGGAAGGTGTCCAGTCTGAGGGCTGCTGGTACCAAGTAGGAGGGAGAACTATAGAAAGAAGTGACATCCCACAAACGGTCTGGAAGAACTAGGTCTGGATGCCAGTGGCAGAAGACATGCTGGCTGGATAAGGATGCACGCAGTGGCATCTCCCAATAGGCCAGGGGTAAGCAGGCCAGCAGTTGGCTCCACCTCTAGGAGAGACAGGAAGCATTAGGCCCTGGTGGATAGGGCGGGCGGGCACATCTCCAGGTCCAAGTTGGCCCTCGGGGGTACCTTCTTGCAGGGCTGGCACCAATACCCGTGAGGTGGCACAGAGGCCCCACAAGGACGCCCGGTCCACCTGTGAGGTGGCACTGGCTCCTGGAGGAGGCCCAGCTCGCACGTGAAGTTGCCCCGGCGCCAAGAGGGGATCCACTACAAGGATGCCCGGTCCGTCTGTGAGGTGGCACAGGCGTCGGGCAGAGAGCCGCTGTCTTTACCAGACCGGTCAGCCGCTGTCTCCCACCGTTCGTCCACCCCATGACCAGCCTTACCGAGACACTGCCCCACAGGCGTGCTAAACGGGTTCCCAAGGAGGAATTCCATCTTGGGCGAACCAAGCGGCAGCGGCCAGGACGCCCGGTCTGTGCCGCGGTCTCGCTTGTACCCAGCCGCTCCCGACCTGACTGACTCTTGCCCCCGCCCCACCCTCAGGAACGCCGAGTGCCGGGCCCTTGACCCCGCCCACTGGTCCTTTCTCTATTGGGCTACGCCTGTACAGCTCTTCTCCGATTGGTCTTTGTTCCGCTCCCATCGAAGCCCCACCCACCTCGCGACGTCCGATTGGGCCTAGGAGCGAGCTAGGTAACCGGAATCCCCGTCAGGCGTAGCGGCACCTCCCCTGGACCGCCCCAGAAGGGAGGCTGTGCCTTTGATTCATCTGGATGTTAGTCTATTTAGAGATACCTTATTATTATTGGACAAAGGATGAGTCAATCGCTCAAACAGGGAGCGGAAAGAAGGCGTATCTAAGAAGTTGCCCGCCCATACAAAGTGCTGATTGGAGAAACGTTTGTTTTCTCTTCGGCTGATTGGTGTTTGGAGTATTTCACCACCCCCGAGGTGTGGTCACGTGATCCATCAACCTTCACCCCCGGATGTCTATCTCCGGACTTCCCCTTAGCAACCGAGTGGCGGCACTTGGTTCCCCAGCAACAGAGAGGAGACGTGTTTGCTGCCGAGAATCAGCCCTGTTACTAGTGCTTGAGAGGTGAGCCGCGGGAGTTGAGGCTCCAAGAGGACTTGCAGAGGCGGAGCACCTGATTCTTTCCTTTGACCCTTTTCTCTGAGGATTCCAGCCCGGCACTTCTCATATGTAAAGTAAGCACAGATGTCCCCTGCTAGCTACTTTACAGTCGTACTGAGTCTGCCAAGACACTTTAGTCTTGGACTTTTAGTCTTTGTAGGAAAAAACCGCTCAGAGAGCATTTCTTTAGGAAGTGAAGGCCAGAAAGGATTCCTGCGGAGTTCCATCCCCACAGCCTCCTGTCTGGACCGTTTCATGGAAAGATAGGTACCCCTTCCAGAATTTAGCTCTCATATCTAACCTCTTAACTCTCGTTAAGTTATTTCATTTGGTGTTGTAAAAAGTGATTTGGCGCCGTCTGCTGTGTGAGCGCAAGGCCCCAGTTCGATCCCCGGTACAAAAAAAAAAGTGATTTGGATGACAATATGAATACTTGAATTCCGTGTCTGTCTCTAGTTCCTTCCCATCCTTGAATTCTCAGTTTCCCTATCTGGGAAATAAAGGCATTAGGAATCTCTTCTTTAATGGCTTTGCACTAGTTACTTTCCTGTTTTTGAGGCAAAATATCCGACACCCCCAATTTTAAAAAGGAGAGGTTTATTTTGGCTTACAGTTTCAAAGGATTCAGCCCATGGGTGGCAGGCTCCAAGGCAAAAACGACATTGTAAAAGGCCCAGGAGAAGGAAAGATGCTCACTCCCTGGTGGTCAGAACGCATAGAAGGGAGGAGCTGGGGACAAGAATAAAAACCCTTTTAGGTCAAGCCCCAAGTGACCTGCCTTCTCTGACCAGACCTCACCTTCTAATAGTACACTCAGCTAATGACTATAGTGCCCTCATGATCCAGTCACCTTTTAGACATGTGAGACTTTTGGGGGACATTTTAGATCTAAATCATAACCAGCTTCCAGAGCTAATGTGTAATTAAATAATTATGTGCACTGAGGGCACTTATATGCACACAGTTCGTGGTTGATTTTTCTTCTCCTTAATTTATGGCCAGTAGGGTCTCTATTTTTCAGATCCAACTAACCAGGTGGTTGTTTCCAGGGAAATACGGATCTGTTCTCAGACAGGAGGCTACTTGACTGATAGATGTGTAACACTCTCTGTTGCTTCTCCATCTCCTGCCTCTAGGCTTCACCAACAATGCTATCATCAGGCAAGTCAACGGGGACCCAGTTACGGTGGTAAATTTCTAATAAAGTCTCCATAGAGAAAGACTGTTTAGGCCTTTTTCCTGACCCAGAGCAGTGTGAGAAACATGAGCTGCGACAATGATTGTTCCTAGTATCCTGGGTGGAGTCATGATTAGAAAAACAGGTTCTGCCATTTACTAGGTGTATAAACTTCGGTGTGTTAATTAACCTTTCTAACTAGCTTCTGTTTTGTTCTCTGGAAATTGGGGTAATTAGTACTATAGTTTCCCAGAGATATCTCAAATCCATCTCTTACCTCTACCCCATGTCATCTCTGGTCTCACCCTCTTACAATTCTCAGTATCACAGCTAGAATGAGCTTTTGAACCTTGAAATCTAATCTCTTATCAAACCCTACAGGGATCCTAGGATAATAATACAAGTCCTGTATCTCCAAGTTTTCATCACTTAGGACAAAGTGGACCATGCTCTCTCACCTCAGGGTCCTCACTATAAAGTTTCCTCTCTGTTCTTTCCCTTTTATGCTTCAGATGTCATCCTGTCTTCTCTGGCCAGGCCAGGTACTTTAACGTATACTTTCATAGTTCCCTTCACCTAGAAACTTATCCTGGTTTGTAACTAAATATTTGTATGATTGTTTGATTCATGTCTGAACCAGAAATAAGGATAGTTATCTGTTATTCATGGCACACAGTATTCAGAATATATGTGTGACATGTGAAGTAACTATGTGATCTTACAAAAATATAAGAGAGAAGAATTATCAACCTATTACAGATGGGAAAGCAAAGGCTTAGACAGATGGAATGAGTTCCCAAAAGGTACACAGCCACAATCAGAATCCTGCCTTGGTATATTTAACAGATAGTGTGCATGACAGCAATCCCATATTGCATAGCGTTTTCCTGTCTTGACCTGTCATAGGTACCAGGCCTTCATGAATGGGGAGGGATGAGAAGTCAAAGTTTTGAAATCAGAATTAAGAGTAATTTCCAAAAGTATATTACCTTTTAAAAAGATAAGAGCCCAAAATGCTTTGCAGATAGTGTCTGCCAAATAAAACATATTAAAATTTCCCCAGAAGTAAGTTGGTAGCAAGTTATGGGAAACCTTAGGACAAATCATTTTAGAAGAGTAGGAAGCTGGTGAGGGCTGGAATTGTCACTGGGGAATCAGTCACCCTAAGAAGACAGAGCTAGTGTGGTGAGAGGGGGAAGAAAAGGCCTGGGTCTTGAAGGATGGAAAGCTCATATGGAGAAGGGACAGAGATGGCAGGGAGATATAGCCATCTGGGGCAGAAAGGAAAGGTGCACAAGAATTAAAGCCCTGAGACATTTGATCAGGGACAGCTGAGGAATGGAGCATGTGTATTTGTACAAGCTGCATCTAAGTGGACAGTGGGGAGGAAGGAGGGAGAGTGGTCTTAGAGGGAAGTCTCTAAGGCCAGATGACCGACTGTCCAGCCCAACCTGTGTTTATGGTGGATGTCATCCGCCCAACATCAGGAGTCCCTGGCATTGTTCTGTGGAATGAAAGGTAAGAGGGCAGGATCTGCCTTGCATCAGGGTGGGATGGACCAAAGGTCCAGGGAGGCCTGAATGCTGGGCAGGCATGTGGCCAGAGGTAAGAGGTAAGGCCAGAAGGGAGGTGAGAAGCAGGTGGAATCAAAATGGAGGACTGAACCTCCAAAGGCCTCAAGGGGCTGAATCTCAGTAGCCTGAGAATATGGCATCCTGCAGGGCCTAGCTATTTGGATGTTCTCATCAATAGAGTTGTGATGATGAGAATGAGGCTGGAATGCCCAGCTTCTCAGGCCTATTACCCTGTCCAGTCAGGAATAACAGTCCACAGTCAGTCTCACAGTGTGACTGATGGAATCCACAGATTACCCCCTTGCCTGCAGTGTCTCACCCAGATCCCTTTGGACCTTCAGCAATGGAAACCTACCAGAATTCGCTTAAAGAGAAACTAATGTGAGAAATCAGAAAACACTCACAGTAGAGGACACAGAAACTTGGATGAGGCCTAGATTTAAGAACCTTAGGGACTAGAAAGTCAGCAAAAAGAAGGCAGGCTCTGTCTCTGCCTGGCCGACTTTGTCTTTCTTTTCTGGATCTACTTCTCCCTGTGTATCTCCCACATCCCCCTCTTGCCCTGTCTGCTTAATCACATGCCCACTCCCTATTTCTTTCCAGTCAAGCCATCAGCTCTGATGAGCATTCTCTTTCCATGCCCCCAAGTTCCTACTGCTCAGAGGGACAGCATGAATGGCCAGCATGGGTCAGTGCCCACCTGCACACTGGGGGCCTCTTGTTGGAGGCAGCACACATATGACTGCCTGCAGGGGTGAGGCACTCTCAGAAGGGGGCTGCAGCCTGGCACACCTGGCTGGTGCTGCCAAGGACATGGTCAGTTGTTGGTGACCTTCATGATGTACAGAAAGATGGGAACACAGAGGCCTGACACAGGACCACAAACTTCAGGAGCACTGAGACCCACAGTGGACCCAGCATGGACACCAGTGCAGTGGGCCCAGGTGGGGCCCTTGCTGCAGTTCTGGGGTTAAGTAATGAACTTCTATGGAAGGGCCCCAGTGGTTGCAGAAAAACCCCTGACCAGTCTTGATTAAAATATATTAACCCCAAGGTTCAGCAAGCTAAGGGTGAGGAGTGGGCAGCCTTCAGGTTATCCAGGCCACCACAATGGTCCATGACCCTTAAGAAGAGACCTCAGCCAGACTTTGTCCTCAAACCAAGAACAAGGTGGCTATAAGAGGAATGTGGTTTTCTAGGGAAGATGAACCGGATCTATGACTCGGTGGAGCCAAGAGTGATGGACGACGACATACTCAAGCTGGCTGTGGGGGAGCAGGGTCCCCAGGAGGAGGCTGGGCAGCTGGCCAAGCAGGAAGACATCCTCTTCAAAGATGTCCTGTCTCTGCAGCTGGACTTCCAGAGTGCGTATCCTGGGTGCTGGCAGTGGCCTGGGGTGGGATGGGGGCACCAGATGGGCACCCTGGCTTTCTCTGTCCCCCGCCCCGCTTTAAGCCCCAGAATTCTGCACAAAGTCTGTGGTCAAGGGACTTCCATCAGCATGAGGGACCTTGGGCTCTAAGGCATAAGAGCAATTGGATCTTTTAAAAACTTCACACTTAGTGTTGCTGACATTTGTCCACACCACTTCCGATTCTGAATAAGAACAGAAAAAAGATAGATTGTCCCTCTCCAAACCTAAGTGAACTCTCACAAGACTATGCTGTTTCCATCACATAATGCAACAGTACTGTCCTTGGAGCAGGGGTCTCTGGCAAGCCTAGGACATAGGAAGCCCCATATAACCAATACTGAGGAAGAATGAGAAGTTGGAGGAGCCAGCACTCTGGGAGGAGCTTTAGGGGAAGAGGTAACAAAAGGGGGCTGGAAGCAGAAGGGGCACAGGGCTCTGAGGTAGGGAGGAACTCAGGAGTGGCAGGACAGCCTAGTGGGAAGATGTGGCTGAGGACCAGGTAGAATCTTACTGCCTCTGTCCCCATCTAACACGTTTCCCCGAAAATAAGACCTAACTGGAAAATAAGCACTGGTCATTACCATGATGATAGCCCGTGTTATGCAGAGGATTGTACCTCACTATTCTCTTGCTTGGTGGCTACTCTATAATGGCAGGTAAGGCAAGGTGTTTGGAGCTGGCATTTTTGATCTCTAGTTTTTAAGGCTGATTATTTTCCTCTTAGGTCTTATTTTCAGGAAAACACAGCTATGAAAGGAGATGCCTGTAGTCTCTGCCTCAAGCACTGGTTAGGAGGACAAGTGAAAACATGTGCCTAGTACCTGGCTCATGCTGTGAGGCCAGCAAGCATGGAGGGAGAAAGGTTCCTGATATCCTTGTATACTGTGCAGGTGAGGACACTGCAGAGTGACCCAGTGGGACTCACATTCCTGCTCTGTCTTGGGCCCTAGGTTGGTTAGGCATCTGGCCAAAAAAGGAGTTATTGAAACTTGCCTCGGTTGGGCCTTCTGCCAGACTCCGAGGAACAAGAGCAGCTGGCAAGAGGACCCCAGCCCAGGCCAGCCTCACATAGCCCACAGGCCTCCTAGAGAATGGCCTCCAGAGCTGATCTCCCGTAGCAGGGAGGGCCCTGAGCTACAGACCTCAGCCCTGAGAGGAAGAAAGGATGCAGTGGCCACAGGATGGGACTTTAGCCCTTGACTGCTTTTCCTTTGCTTCCTGCTCCTCCATTTGAGGTTCATTTAGCCAATACTGAGCAAGTGCCTGTTATATGCCAGGTCCTGTTCTAGGTACTAGGATTCAGCTGTGAGCCCAAAAGACAAAGGACCTTGTCTTCAAAGAGTTGACATTCAAGTAGGGGAGGCAAATAAAGAAGGAAAATATACTGTATGTTAAAGGTAATATGTGCTATGCTGGAAAATGAAGCAAAGGAAGGGGAAACTAGGGTGGGGTGCAGTGTTTTCTAGGGTGGCCAAAGCCCTCGCCAAGAAGGTGACAGTCAAGCAAAGACTTGGAGGAGGTGAGGGAGGGTACCACATGGAGATCCACTGGGGAAAGTGAGGCAGCATTAGTGGCCAGGACCAAAGTCCTGAGGTAGGCCGGAGCTAGCCTGATGAGGCCTGCTGTGGAGGCCACTGTGGAGATAGGTCAGAGAAGTCTCATTGTGGTCAGCTGGCATCTACCTTGGGGCCTATGGAAGGTTCTTGGCTTTTGCAGTGAGTGAGGTGGAAGCCTGAGAGAGTCCTGAGCAGAAACAGGCCAGGATGGGACTTGAGTTCTCACAGGACACCCCTGGCTATAGGGTCAGGGCTGAAGCGGGAACCTAGTGAGATGGCTGCTGCTGTGGTCCAGGGAATGACAGCATTGGCTGGAGCCCAAGATGCTGGCCAGAGGCAGATTTGGTGTCAGTGTTAGGGATTAAGTTGGCTTTTTTTGTTAGTCCTGCCATGTTGGTAACTCGTTTGGAGCTAACTACCAAATATTTCCTGTTTTGTTGTGCTATTTGACTTTTCCACATGAACCACTGGCATGCAGGTGTGTGTGGCAGAGCACCAGGTGTGCAGAAGCTACCAGCAATAGCAGGGAGCCACCACAGCCAAGGGCAGGGTGCTGTCAGTCAGAGATCAGGGCCACAGCAGGTGTCTAGAAAATCCAGCTAGGCATGGGAGGTGTCTGGGAGCCTGCAGCAAGCCTGGGCTCTGTCCCGAAGTGGGGAGGGGAGTAGGGGAAAGTATCAGTGTGGGAAATCTGGCCACAGTCGGGGAGCTAAGGAACAGGTTCCAGTGCCACCCAGCCCTGGGGACCCACGGAGGGAGTGAGGAGCAGTCCATCTCTAGGCAGAGGGCAGTGGGATCTAGGTTAGAAGACCCAGGCACAGGAAGAGGGTTGGGAATGGTACCTTTCCCCAACCTGAATTTTCACAAGCTCTCTAGTTGGACCTTGACTCTGAATGAATATTGAAACTGCAATTCCAAATGTATGCTTGTTGATGATCCTTGTTTTTTGTTTTGTTTTGGTTTGCTTTTTGGAGGTACTGGGTATGGAACAAGGGCCTCTCTTATTACTAGGCAAGTTCTCTATACTGAGCTACACCCTCAACCCTCTTAATGATACTTTTTTAAACCCCTTCATGTCCATATTATTCCACTTCTTTAAATAAGCATTCTAATTTTCTAAGTTTTGGAAATCACTATAAAAAGAAATACAGAATAAAAGGGGCATATAAACAACAGAACTCTGTGTGGTTTCTGGGAAAGTCTGGGGTACAAGTTTAGCCTTTAGAATTTTACACTTGCAGTATCAATTGTTTGTGTGTTTTTCAGGACTCTTCTGGCTGCTGGTGGTATAAGTCGAACTCTGACTGGCTGATGAATGAAGGAGTTGGGTGGCTGTGCAGCTGGGGTGGATAGGCCTCAGGGGCTGTGGAGTCCTATCATTTCCATGCTGTCTAGAACCTGCTGTTCTGTTGTATAGTGATTTATCCCATCCCCTATATGTGCATAGCTGGGAATACACCATTTTTCTGTCCTTTATGTGCCGCTAGGTGTTCTTAGCTGTGTCTTTGGAGACATTTCAAGAAAACTACAGTTCAAAGGTCACAGACATTAAACATTTCAGTAAATTTGGCAAAACGATCTTCCAAAAGATTGTACTAGTTGACTAACCCTTCTACCAACAGAGCTGCATACCTCAATTCTATTTGTCATGCTGCAAAAGGCCAGCCCCTTCTAGTAGCCTATTTCCCAAAGTGGACCAGCCTCCTGGGGGCACTCAGCCTGACACGAGAGGCAATGTGAGTAAGTCTCCTGTCCTGGACAGGTCCAGCTCACCCCCCACACCCCTCCCAACCCTTTCCGCCAGTGGACCTCTTAGGTCCTCCTACAGCTCTGGGTGACACCACTGATCCCCACTGGTACTATACGCTAATAGGGACACAATACTCATCAGTGTTCAGCCCACGCATTTAACTCCAGGGCAGGGCAGGGGAGTGGCAGGGTCTTTCTCTCTTTAACTTTACTTTGTCTTGGTCCCTTGACCTGAGCCTGACCCCTGGGCTGTTGCAGACATCCTCCGCATAGACAACCTCTGGCAGTTTGAGAACCTGCAGAAGCTGCAGCTGGACAACAACATCATTGAGAGGATAGAAGGCCTGGAGAACCTCACACAGCTGGTCTGGCTGGGTAAGGCCCTGACCTCTGTGTATGTCCACCCTAATCGAAGGTGACCCCCTGCCAAGTTTGTCACCTCCCAAGGGACAGTAATCATGCATGACACTCAGCTGCCAGCCTGTCATTAGCCCAGGCACAGGAGAAGCTCTGTGTTCTAGGAGCAAAAAAAAAGCTGCTTAAAAAAAAAAAACAAACCTTGACTTATGGTGGCCAAAGTGCAACAAAGATGTGTTTGGACCTCAGGACAGAATGTTCTCCTACCTGCCTATCCTCTCAGTCTGGGTGAGGCACAAGGAGAACTGCTGTTTAATTAGACACAGCTGGACAAATAACTGTTACCCAGTGGGGTCCAGATCAAACGAACAATGACCACGGCAGAAGTTGTGTGCATTGAACACTCAACAACACACTAAGTGTGGACCTTCCATATGAGGCCTTTCCCCACAGCAGCCCCATCATAGAATTGAGAAAACCTAGGTCACAGAGAGGAAGAGGGGATATCAGACTCCCAGCTTGTCTCTGACCCTAGAGCTCTGGCCCTTACTGCCAAAGCCACAGGGGTTTTGATCAACTGTGTTTTTTACTGGTTTCGTAGAAACCTCTCATATTTGGCAAGGGACAGTGAGCACCCAAAAGGGAGGAGAGAATAAGAGCTCTTGTCTTTTAGCCCAATAATAACGTTAACATTTGTGTGTGTGTTTTTACGGAACCCTGGATCAAGCTCAGGACTTTGCACTTGCAAGGCAGGTGTGTTGCCACTGAGCTAAATCCCCAGCCCCAACATTGGTGTTTGTTATAATTGCAACCTATAATAGAGGAACCAAAGCTCAGAGAGGCCAGGGCATTTTCCTGAAGCTATACAACCAACCCCAAGGTTCATACTTCCTCCATCCTGCCATGCTGCTTCCTGATAACCAGGGCAACCAGGGGCATCAGAGTACCTCCAAATTTGCCAAACATTCTCAACTGTGTTTGTGCTGACCCTCAGCAACCATAGGGACCGCACAGGCAGGATCATGCTGCCATTTCACAGATATAGCCAAATGAGGCTCAGAGAGGCTGACCGGCTTGATGGGGTCATACGCGCAGGTAGGAAAACATACCACAGCCAGGTCTTATGAGTCTTCAGCGTAGGTCCCCAGCCCAAGTACCCCTCAAAATGTGCCACCACCCATTAAAACTGATTCCCGGCTGGAAGATCTGTCTGCATTGCTAGGAATCATCTCTCTGCAGGAGGTGAAGATAGTGTCCCTGACCATACTGAAGGTGCCATGGCCAACCCTTCACGAGCTACCAGGCCTACCTGTCTCTCAGCTATGCATCCCCACAAGAGCCCAACATTTGCCCATTCATCCAGGGAGTGACTTGATTCTGGCCATCGGTCCCTCCTAAACAGTATTTCTCCTTCCTGACCAATCCATTAGGGAGAAAAATTCCATACTACCTCTCAGGGCTGTTGTCAGAGGATGTGCAGATAACCACTTGATAAACAGGTAAATGCTAAGCAGACAGGAGGCAGTCTACTTAAAATACCTACAGGTATTAGCTGGGCATGGTGGTACATTCCTGTAGTCCCACTACTGTGGGGCTGAGGTAGAAGGATCACAAATCCGAGCACAGCCTGGGCCACTTAATGACTTGGTAAGACCCTGTCTCAAAATAAAAAATAAAAAAGAGCTGGGGCCAGGGATTTAGCTCAGTGGCACTGCACCTGCCTTGAAAGCTCAAGGTCCTGAGTTTGATCCCTAGTACAAAAAAAAAAAAAGAGCTGGGGTTATAGCTCAGTGTAAAGGTCTTGAGTTCAATCCCTGTTACACACACACACACAC